ACAAGACGCAGGCATCACCATCAATCCAGCAAAGTGCAAATTTGGTCAGTTCAGAACCAAATTCCTAGGACACGAAAGCAAGGGCATTAAACCTTTAACCGACAAGGTAAATGCCTCCAAATGTGATTAAAACTTTTAAAGTGAAATAATCAGCTCGTCTTACGTACTCGATGTTATTGTCGAGGTTAAATTGTAAATAAGAATGCAAATAGACAACCAACTTTATCACAGCGGCAAAGAAACGCCGTGCCGGTTGCGTGTACACGTAGACGGATTTGCCGCGGTGAATTTGCTATCCACAGGAAACGTAAGTAAGATGATCCGTCGCAGCAGGTACGTCCGTCTGTACAGGCATGAACAAGGACCGGCGTTTTTTCTTAGAGGCACAATTTTTTCTTTGTTAGATTAAATTGACGAAAGACATTATTGAAGAAAAAATAATGCTAATACAAGCATATTCAGTGTTGAACGAGTGCAATTCTTTAACTCTATTCTTCAATTAAAGTAAAATTTATTTTGAACTAAGAATATATTTGGTTTGTCTTAAGAATAATTCATTCTTAATTGAAGATTTTTCTTAGCGCTATTCTATGAATAAAATATTCTTGAATTAAAGCATATTTGTATTTCTTTAAGAATTTATTTTGTGTGTGTGTGTGTGTGTGTGTGTGTGTGTGTGTGTGTGTGTGTGTATAGGATGTTCCATTTTAACATTACTAACGAAATAAAAAATCAATCTAAATACGAGCACCTGGACCGAAAATCTCTGTAGATATATGTATATATTTATAATTTTGGGTAGAATTCTTCAGTTACAGAGTTTGTAAGATTGCCGTAACGTTGTAACCAAATAGTTTTAGAAGGTTTAGATAAATCTTAGATATACATTGCAGAAGATTATTGTACCTGAAAAAGATAAAGTTTAAATATAATTACAATATTATTGTTACATGTCGACAGTATATTAAAATACAATAAACTATTTTGTCTAAACCTTTAGCCAAAGAAGTTTTAAATGTTCTTTACTTACAGATCTATACAGTTTCTATACAGCGTCCGCCAAAAGTTCGAAGCCATCTAAATCATTTCTGAACGAGATATTGAATTGAATTTTGTAGCGTTACAATGGCAAAATGTAATCTATCATTTAACCTTGAAAACATCTACTTCAATCTTTCGAGGAGGATCTTGAAAATTTTAAATGGCATGTGGGATTGAGTGAGAGCTGATCGTTTGAAAGGGCTTTTCGAGACGAGAAGAACGCGAGATCTTTACGATTTTTTTCGCAGAGTTATGCTTATTTAGAAACAATTAGGTGTTTTTTAGGCTACTAGCGAGGCTCACGGTCGAGGACGTGAGGAAGATAAAGCTTCGCGCATGTTCCTGAGTGGATGGAAATGTATGTAGAAAAGCGAGTGTGTATGTGTGAAGAACATGCGCGAAGCCTTATCTTCTTCTTGCCGTGAGCCTCGCTACTGCCAAAAAACACCAATGTTCAAATAAGCCTAACTCTGCAAAAAAAAATCGTAAAGACTTCGCGTCTTTTCGTCTCGGAAAGCCTTTTCAAACGAGCCTTCACTCGACCCCATTTAACTCGATGCTCTTTAAGATTTTCAACCTCCCGCCCCTCTCGGAAGGTTGAAGTTGATGTTTTCAAGGTTAAATGATAGATTACATTTTGCCATTGAAACCCTATAAATTTTAATCCAATACCTCGAATCGTTCAGAAAATATTTAGGTAGCTCCGAATTTTTGGCGGACCTCGTAGAATAGATCGCTAACATGTTATAGTTTGTTACCAATTGTGTTGAAGCCAGACGCCATATTTATCAGGTAATCACATACAGTGCTTTATGAAGTAATGTTAGTGTACATTTAATAATATTGGTTAAAATTTTGACATTTTGGAATATAACTCATTACTAGGTAAAAATGGCTACTATTTCCTCTTCTGTGTCATTTGGCTTTACTTCATTTCTTGGAGCTAGCGATCTATAGTATATATAGAAATCTGCGATTTTACTACAGATACTTTATTATTTCATTCATAATTTTTCCATTAATATATGACTTACAAGATACGAAGTTCAAATTTTACAACGCTGCAAATGCCTTTGATATTTTTATAAAAGGTTTGCTTTGTCACTTGGTACTTTCCACGTGTTGCAATTCTTGCCATTATCCTATATCGATTGATAATGTCCCCGTGATCTTTAATAATGGCACGCACCGTATTCAAATTTCTAATAAAAGAAATAGATTTTAAATCATATGAAATTAAATGCATATAACGCGAAAGAATTAGTCGTGGTTACATTACCTAATTACTAGCAGCATACTTTTAGGCATCAATCTCAATGCAGCTGTTATTTTATCGAATCGCTCCTGCGTCCATTTTTTCATATATTCATTTGATGTTGTAATGTTTGAACATACAAAAGAAATTGTATATGGTGTCTGAGTTAACATTTCTGCTAGCAATACATAATCTACAATAATATGTTTAGATAAGAATAAAAATTGAACAATTAAAAAAATTAAGGATACGAAAATTGTACAATTTATAATATTTAATATTTAAACATTTATACACTTCTCAACAAAATTAAAGCATCACTTACTTTACCCTCCGAAAATAGGTAAAATTCAAGAGAGTGTACCTTCGTCAAAAATGATCGTATCGAGATGTTCAAAAAAGCATTTTATAGCTTGAAATCTCTACTTTCCAAATCGATACCTTAGAAAACGACCCTACTGATTTTTCATGGAATTACACGGATAGAAAAGGAGACCCGACGAATCTCAAAATTTTTTACGAACTTTGACAAGTTCCATGGCGTGGAATAAAAATCGCACATAAACAGGGTTTACAGCTTTCGAAAGAATGAATCTTTCTCTTTAATTTGCTTTTTTGTTGAGCGTCGTACGATTTTTTTTCACCGAGTTATTTAACATTGAAGCAAAAATGACCCTTTTTACTTCAATGTTGAATAACTCAGTGAAAAAAAATCGTACGACGCTCAACAAAAAAGCAAATTAAAGGTAAAGATTCACTCTTTCGAAAGCAGTAAACTGCATTTGTGTGCGATTTTTAGTTTATGCTATGAAACCTTTTAATTTAGCTATTGATGCAATTTCACTTGTACCCAGGATGAAGAAATAACTTCGTATAGCATACAACTGAGTCGACAAGGCACACAGGGGGTA